ATATTCTTATCAAAGGTCACAAATTGACAACATTACCCTTGCTCTTAATAACCATTTAACCAAAAAGCCAAAACAAATTAAAATTTTAAAAGCAAAATATGTAAATTGAAAAAACAAATTGCTAGCTAATAATGGTTCATATTTCTTTATATTAGAGTCATGGTGGAATAGCAAAGGACATGAATAAATTAAATCTAATCAAGATTTTGTGCATAGTTACAATTAAGGAAGTCAAGATATTTTTTGAGTAAATATGTTTTAATTCATGATGTATGTTAAGTTGTATTAGAAATTAAAATAATCTCTTCATATGTGTGGATTTTTCTAGGTGTAAATTTTGTTTTTGTTTCAATACAACTAAAATAAATAGTTTACGTTAAGAAATTTACACCTTATAAAAATTTAACCTTATTTTATTTTCTATTGTTGTTTTAAATTTCATAAGTAGGATAATATAAGGTAGTATTGGAACAAAAGTTTTATCTTTCTTGTATTTCCTCCAAAAGGGTTAAAATGTTATAGGAAATGTCAATCCAAGGGAGGTAAGTGAGATTTTAAAGACCTCAGGAGAGCTGAATGATATTATAAGAAACCTCAGGGGAGGTTTCTAAAATTATCCCATGAATTTTTCAACTCATTATATTAATTTGCTGCGAATTTCCATGTCTCTTATTTCTTGTGAACATCCATACTAAATGCATGCTATCTGATTTCTTCCAAATGGTTTTCTATTTTTTTTTCCAATCTCGGTTTGATTTGCATTCCATCGAAGATGCATCCCATCTGCTTCTACACAACCATTATTCATTAATTTGGCCTTAATGAATCAAATACCTTCTATTTATAAAGTACACACATAATAGAAATCAGAAGATCATAAACTAATCTAATGATAATTGCATAATTCTTGGAGCCATGTAATGCTAAGCATATAAATATATATATTTTTTGGCGGCACAAACGTAGTGTAATACACTACTATTATTGAGTTCAGTCAGTTTTCTTGCTGGTTTTTAACTACATTCACGGCAGGACTCGTGATCTAACTTGGGGCAACTCTTTCCTATACGTTCTTGGGACGACACTTCCATCAGGCTCCAGGGGTCCTAGATAGCCCTTTTTTCTTTATCTTTTGGTAAGGAAAGGAAATTGGGTCCTAGATAGCTTTATTATTTGTTAGCTTACATCAGGCTTCTTAAGATGCATTTTCTAATGAAGCGAGACTGAAAAATGTTCTAACAAGGGAACTAAATCATTTTGTGACGACATGGAATTAGAAGATCATCTTGGCATTTTTCCGGTGGACCGACAAAATGCTAGCTTCAAATAAGGCGGTCTTGTCTTGAAAAGGACTAGGCTTGGGATTGGGACCAGAGACATTACTTAACCAAGTAAACATTCCCCTACCTAGAAATAGAATATATGTCGCTTTAAAAGACCTGCAAGATGTTCGTAATATGTATGTCGGGACCATGTTCATCAAACTTCCCGTCTTAACCCTTAATATTTTCTAATTATCCCACACGAGGCTAGGCAATTAAATGGTGGAAAATCTTCTTTTCTCGTAATCGAGAAAAAGCCAAAAACCAAAAGTTACCCCAAAAAAAAAAAAGGAAAAATAGAAGGTGTGCACGGAAAAGCCAAAAGCAAAGATAGACTGCTATGCACTTTTTTCTTTTGAAAAAAAATAAACATTGAACCTTGATGAGACTTTAAAAATAGTTTAGGGACTAATTAACAAATAAAAAAACTTGAAGTACTTTTGTGAGACTTTAAAATTAGTTTCAAGGATCAAATATATAAACTACTTAAAAAATGACAGAAAGATAAGGGTTTGTCTTAACAATTGTTTATTATCCTATCAAACTTTTTTAACATTCCATATTAGGTTATAAACTTTTAGTGATCAAAGACCATAACGGTGGATGTATCAGATAAGCCAAAAGCAAATGCAAATGATTGCACTGAGTACTCTAACTTTAGCACAAAAGATTCCTCTGTTTAACTTTTTTTAACTTTGAGAGTCTTGAAGTATTATACTTGAGTCAGAAGCTTTAGAAAAGGATAAAAAAAACTTGAAGACTACAACATTGAAATTGCGAGCGAATGCATATATATATATATATATATATATATATATATTTATATAGGACAGCCGTGATTGCTAGAAGAAATATAGGAATTCAAAACCACGCATTGCTAACAGGTTAGAGTTTTTCTTCTTCTCCTCTAGTCATGTAATCATATTCTTTGGCACTGAAACACCTAAAAAATGAAGAACTAAGCTCACCCCATGTGTCTCCTTATTGTCTCTCTGCTAGCCATGCAACAAAGTCCAGTATAAAACGAAAATTGGATGTCAATGACCAATAACATATTAGCGAGAAATTGAATTCAACTGCATTCTCATAGTTAAATTTCCCACTTAACCAAAAATTACTCCTACCAAGATTTCTGAAGAAAATTAAGGCCTTTACGTAGACCCCAACTTAAAAAAAAAAATCTGACTAAGAATGTTGCAGTTATCTTCCTCACAGATGGCCTTCGGCTAGAAATCTAGAGTATGACGATCAAGATAAATAAATTCATCCATCCGTACAAGTTTTTTTTTTGCCCCCCTCACGAAATTAGATCAACCAAAAGGGTTGTCCCCTCCTTCCTTAATCTATGAACGGGAGAATAGGATCGAAAGCCATACAATGTTTTTTATTCCTTTAAAAAAAAAAGTTTTTCAGTAGCTATTTCTCTCAAAAAATTTTTAAACTAAAATCATTTTGCATCATATTTTTCATACCTCCAATGGATTGTGGATTCATTCCAAATTAAACCCATCAATTTGTTTTGTAATTTTCACTTTTCAGCATTAGTTTTTGTTTTACATATTTAGAGTCAGAAAAGACTGCCAACTTGAGACAACAGCCGCCTGTGTTAGTCTAATGAAAATGAACATATAGAAATCCATGCAAAATAACTATATACGCTGCATAAAACACGAATGCTTTTATTTTAGATGAGAAACTTAAATTGTCTCAAAATGCAATGGAGATAGTTGATAATCAAAACTCGATTTAAGCACGACCGAAATTATGAGCAAACACTTCCAAAAAAACTTTGATCCTTGTTGATTGGTTAGGTTTGCTAAATATTCAAGAAGTTAAATGAACACTAAAAGCTATGACATGCCACTATTAAGAATGCCACGCATATTAAGAATTAACTGAAGCCTTTTCAAAATATTTATCAAATTACTTTCCTTTATTGATATTTTTTTTTTCAAGTTACCCTTCCACTCGATTTCAAAAAAACAATTAAAAACTTTGTAGGCCCACTAAAGTAGTTTCTCTCAAAAATAATTGGATTTGGTGTTTTTGAGTGTGTTTTTAAAAAATTTTATTGTATTAGTGTATATGAAAAAAATTTTATATTTTTTTGAATTACTTTTGTTTGTGTATTAATGGATTATTATATTTAATAAATTTAATTTTAAAAAACAGGCCCATTTAAACGGAGTAATATTGGTGCGCAAAAGATTTTGACTCAATTTATGGAAAAACGGTGAGGCCTACTCCTTACCCTCCCTTAGAAGAGTTTGAGTTTAATGGCTTTCTCTTTTAAAATGGCCCCACAAAATAAAGAGACTTGACATGAGCTTACAAACTTGCTACTAGGTATCCGATTAAATAAAGGGCCTGTTTAGATCCTTGGTTTTTTGCCAAGTTTGTATGCTACTAATTTTTTAACAACTTTTGCTACAGGAACCCCAAAAATTTATCAAAGTTTTTAACCTACACACTTTAAAATATCCAAAACACAAAAAAATCCAAAATTCCCTTCCCCTTTTCTTCTTCTTCCTCCCCCACCCCAACCGGTCACCACCTCCGCCGCCGATTTCGGCACCGATCACCTCTTCCGATGCCGATCTTTTTTTTTTTCCCTTTCTCCCTCTCCCCCTCTGCCATCCTCCCCCGGTGCCGATTTTGATCCTCTCTCTTTTTTTTTCTCCCTCTCCCTCTCCCCCACCACCCTTTCCCTTCCCCTCTGGCCGGTCGCCAGACCAGATCGCACCGAGGGAGGGTGAGGGTGGCGGGGGAAGGGGAGTAGAGGGGGAGAAGGAAAATTGCAAAAAAAAAAAAAAAATTTCCGTAGCCGACAGATTGAGCAGAGTTAGGCGAGGGAAGGGGGATGGGGAGAGAGGAGGAGAGGGGTGGCGGGGGAGGGAGAAAAGGGGTGGCGGGAGAAGGAAGGGGAAGGGGAGAGGGGGTGCCGGGTGGCGAGGGAGGGAGAAGAGAGGTGACGGGCAGAGGGGTGACGGGGGAGAAGGGAGGAAATGGGTGGCAGGGGAGGCAGAGGGGGGTGCCGGGCAGAGGGGGGTGTCGGGGGAGAGGGGAGGAAACGGGTGTCGGGGAAGGCAGTGGCGGGCAGAGGGGGTGCCGGGGAGAGAGGAGGAAATGGGTAGGCGGGGGAAGGAAGGAGAAGGGGAGAGGGAGAAAAGGGGTGGCGGGGGAGGGAGAGGGAGGAGTGGCGGACAGGAGAGGGGGAGAAAAAAAAGCAAAAAAAAGGTTGCAAAAAAACCCAAAGCTGCATTGGCAGTGATCTGAAGAGGGAACAGGGTAGGGGGAAGAGGAAGAGAGAAGAAGCGGGAAGGGAGGAAGGAAAAGAAAAAAAAAGAAAAAAGAAAAAGAAAGAAAGAAAAGGAAAAGGAAAAAAAGTTTTTCATAACACAAAAAGTTTTTCTACAACTTCTAAAAAAAGTTTTTTCATCTTACAAGGTTTTTCTACAATTTCTACAGTGATTTACAGTAAAGTTTTATACAAACACCTAAAAAACTCACCTTCCAAACAGGCCCAAAGATAAAACTGGAACTCATAAATTTCAACAACATTACAATCCATAAAGAATTAGAATCTCGAAAAGTACGGAGGGAGTATTTAACTTTATTTACAATGAGTGTCTTTATAATCTATTATATACTACAGTCAAATGCTCAAGAAAGGAATAAAATAACACAATTGGAAACCTTGAAGAATAGGACGTTGCCAAGAAACTTGACTTAAACAATATTCTCAAGGAACTGCGAGTATATATACAAGGCATGCACGGGCAGTTTTGATTGCCAGAGTGCATAGAAAAGTTGAAAACCTTGGTGCAAGGGCTAACATGTGCTGACATTCTTCAGTGTTACTAACAGGTTAGTGTGTGTATTCTTCTTCTGTAATCAAGTGCTTTCTTTTTATTTAAACCTAAATCCTAGTTGCATGCTGATAGATATATGTGTTTAAATAGATTTTGTTAGCTTAACGTTACGTCTTCTATGTTTACGCCATAAAAGTAAAGCTTTCTCCTTGTCTTTTATCATTTATATACATATCTATATAGCCAATCGAGCCAAGAATTGGCAAGTGATGATCATCTGACGTCGACTATGCTTCAGAGCTTTCATCTATATCTTGTAAATTAACTTTGGTGTATGAATAAGATTTTCCTTTTCTTCATCTCTGACTGCTTCTACATTCAATATGGTTTGGAGCCAAATTTTAGGCTCTTCTTTATCATTCAGAGAATTTTAATCTACTGTCTGATCAAAAGGCATGTTCTGGTGCAAGTTAACTATACCCAAGAAACAACAAAATGTCATCAGTCACTCACAACGTATTTAAAAAAAAAAAAAAAGATTTTGGGACAGTTATCTAACTCGGACCTTAAGATTCACTCCAATAGGAATTAACCTAAATGGTTAAATTAGCTTATCGTTCCCTTTTCCTTCAAACTTTTTTTTTTGTTTTTTGTGTGAGTAGAAGGACTCGAATCCTGAAACCTCTCACTCTGCACTCCCTCTCCCCAAACCACTCAACCCATACCTGCCCAAATTGGCTGATCCTCTTGATGTTTTCTCCCGCAGCAATTTTTCCTCTTGTTTATACGTACTCAACAAGAGATGTCTAGAATTGATCAAGAGCCATCGATCTTCAAAATCCATGGTCAACTACGAAGTGAAAATGAAGAGGCATACGAGCCACAAGTGGTTTCCATCGGACCTTATCACCGCGGTAAGCCTAAACTGAAAGAGATGGAGAAGCATAAGCTAAGGTACTTCAATGAGCTTTTTCGTCGTAGAGGTGAGAGTTCTGTGAAATACATCATAGCTTTGGCTGATCTTCAAGATCAAGCTCGAAGGTGTTACGCAGAAGAAATCAATCTTAGTAATGATGATTTTGTTGAAATGCTATGCCTTGATGGCTGCTTTGTCATCGAGTTCTTGAGGAAAAGAATACATCCAGAATTGCGCTTGCAGAATGACCCCATTTTTCAGATGCTTTGGCTATTCTCAGCCACTAAGAATGACCTTATATTATTTGAGAATCAGTTGCCCTTTTTTGTCCTGCTTCAGCTGTTTGACATGACCAAGTCGCCAGGAGAAGAAGAGAACCTTATTGACCTAGCTATTCATTTCTCTCTGTCCTTCGAGTTGGCCGATCCAGGTCTAAATTCTCATTCTACAATCTTCGAACATTATAAGCCGGTTCATCTTCTTGGCCTCATGCACAAAATTCTGTCTGCCTCATTTTCTGAAACACTTACTTCAACCACTTATTCCAATACTACACACTCATCTCTGTTCCTAAAATCAGCTGGTGAGCTCCGACAAAGTGGAATCAAGTTCGAGAAGGCAGCGGATGGTAAATCCTCATTCCATATCACTTTCGAAAATGGTGTACTTAAAATCCCTCCTTTAGTTGTGGACGATGATACAGAATCCGTCTTCAGAAACTTGATTGCATATGAAGAGTATATGTCTAATCCAATTGAGACATGGAAGTGCATAAGTGATTACATAATCTTCATAGATTCTCTCATAGATTCCCCGTCCGATGTTGAAACGCTTCGCAGACATGATATCATCGAGAATGCGTTAGGTAGTGATGAAGCACTCTCTACAATGTTTAACAAGCTAAGCAAAAATGTCAATGTTGGCGGGAGATTCTGTTACACCAAAATTTTTGATGATGTGGACAAGTACTCCCGCAAGCGCTGGCATATTTGGAGGGCGCACCTAGTGAGGAAATATTTTAATAACCCGTGGTCTTTCATTGCGTTTCTGGCTGCATGTGCATTGCTTCTCCTAGCAACTGTGCAGGCCATATTTTCCATCCTACAGTATACGAAACAGAAGTAAGCTAGTTGTGTAATTTGTTAGTCATTGTACTTAAATACGAATAAAGTCATTGTACTTGTAACAAATTCTTGATCTGTATGATGTAAAGAACTCTCGTGTCTTGTATATTTTCTTAATACATCTGTCGACATAAGTTTCTATATCTATATATGTATTTGTGCCTGTGTATGACCATAGTGGGGGCCTAGCTTTGAGTGTTACCTAGCACTGGTCCAATCTTAATTTTTAATTATTTATGTATTGTAGTTATTGTAGTTGGAGATTACTACTAAATGCAAAGGATGAAGATGAGAACCCAATAAACTGCAAAGAAAGAGTTCAAGAATGAACCTTTAGCATTCATCTGGCAAAAAAAATCCTTGGCATACTATTGTATATAATAGAAGTTAGATCGAAATTCTACCAAAATTAGTGTACTGAAAACATATAATACTGCAGGATCTAATTGTTACTCCTGTGGCTTAGAGAAGAAAACAGAGAAAATGAGAAGGCTTTATCTCCAATGTTCTGACCTTTCTCATGCTGTCACTTCACGAAGCAAAGCATATGCTAAGGAATGAAGGGCTGAGATATGTGAACTTGTTTATAAAGAATTAAAGGGCTTAAACGTTGGCTGTTCTCTTCTCTTTTCTTCATTGGGCTCAGTCGGTCACTATTTTCTCTCTACAAAGGAAAAATTTCCAGCCATATTAAATTTATTGGAAAAGAATAGCTATGAGCTCATATCTCAAAATTCTTGAAAATTAAAATGTTTAAGAATTTATACGTCTTATATGAATGAATACCTTGAAGTACAGATTATCTTCTGCTGAGTACATTAATAATAGAAGTGTGGAGGAAAATAACGTGTTTTTATATATTGTAATATTGGAGAAAAGAATAAAGTGGGTAGACTATTAATTAAGTTATTTTTCAACTATTTAAATTTGTATACCAAAAGCAGAAAAAAAACTTTTATTCTTCATCGCGACCATAAGATAACAGCCAATGTTTCAATAACGCCGCTCTTAAATTTTCTTTCTGTACTCTTTACTACCTTTTTCTACATAAGGTTAGACATATGCCACCAGACTAATATATCCGAAAGGTGACACCTTACACTCTCCTCTTGCCCAGGTAAATTTTTCAAGTATTTTTTTTTTGCTGTGAAATATATTGGAAATCTGACTAGCGAACTAGTTGAAAAAAATTTCTCCTTTGAATTGAGTCATATTAGCTCATATTGTCCTACCTATAACTGAGTTTTATATCTAACTTGGTACATAACCATTTTTCACCATTCCATACTAATAAAAGTTGTACTGACTGAGAGTGTTGTTGATATATTCTTTCTTCTGTATGCATCCAAGATTCCTACTGCTAATAAACCCCTTAGGTCTTTTTGAAGCATTTCATCTATTTCTCAGAAAATATGTCTGATACTTTTTGTTTAGAAGCCTTTGCTTGTCTTTTGATTCCATTTCCTTTTCCTCCTTTATCTTCTAGGATAATTGCATATATGTGGCTAAACTTGTACAATTTCTAACTAGATCAATTGAGTGAGATAGGAAGACAAATGCCTAAACAAGACAATAGAATAGCCAAGATTGTGTATCCCTCCCAGAGATAAGGGCTGCTGGTGACATCGATTTGTATTCAGCCCTTAACTAGCTTTCCATGATGACTAGCTTCGAACAACGGAAACTTTTAAATTGATTTGTCCTTCTCTAACCACTGAATTCCTTTTGTCCTTCTTGAATTATGTATTTGATTTGACACTGGGACTAATTAAATTGTCAACATGTTTGTATAAATGCTCTAGTTGAATTTCTCGGTATGCTTCTTCATCTGAGAAATTATTAAAACTGAAACTCAACTTTGTAAATATATACCTTTGTAGTGAAAAAGGAAATGCGGAATAGAGAAAAAGAGTGCCCATAAAAGCAAAAAATTGTAGTGAACCTCTGTGTCAACATCAGAAAACTGAACACTCTTTTCAGGGATTGACATAGTTCAAACTCCCCATTGTTCCAACTTTGAAGTGCTTGATGTGGGAGCCAACAAGAAAGTTGCACCAAAACCTTAACACGAAAACAAAGAAATAACGAAATTTGAGGGGAAAATAATTTAATCTCCTAGAAAAAGGGGGGAAAATGCAAAATTCAAATGCTTACCCATAACAAGAAAAATCAAATCAAGCAATTACCAAAATAAGGGGAAAAAGAAGAAAAAAAAAAAAAGAAGTTACCTGCCATGCCATTATATTGTGGCCTTTTACAGCTGAATTTATTTCTGTAAACTTTTCTGTATGAAGATTAAGATGTAGTTCAAAAAGTCAAAACCCCAAAGTCGGTGAATGAAAACCAAAAAAATAGAATCTGGTTGCTGGAGGGTGAAGGGCAAAAACAAAAAGAAACCTATCTCTTATAGCTTCATCAATGACGATCACTGACAATATGATGATCACCAATGTATTGTGCATGCCTGTTCGTATTTGTGTGATTTGTGACAAGAAGTTAAAACAATTATAGCTGAATTCTTTGGTTGCCAAGAGTTTATTCCATATAGCTATATTGGAATTTGAGAAAAATGAAAAATGGCTAAAAATATTTTCAAAACAAAATTGCATAACAGCTTAACATTGTGCCTGATTTCGTGCTCGTCTGAGCTTCTGTAAATTTCTTGACTCGTTCCTCCTCCTTCACCCAGACGAGTCCTTTTATGCGTTCCCCCTTCCTAATATTCTCTTCCTCCTTTATTGGTAAAATAATCAAACTGAACTCCTTCTTTGTGGTCATCCACCAATATGTGCTTATCGATGAATTAATATCGGAGGAAATCTAGAAGGCTTCACCAAAATATAAATTTTAGAAAGGCATGTTCAATATTAGTATCCGAAATCACTTCTTTTGCTATTCTTTTGCTTTTCCTTCTATCCTTCTTCTTTTTATGTGTCCAACAAAAGTCAGTATCAGTTCGTCTAATATTTATATGGATGAAGTAGGTAAAGAGTATTCGTCTATTAATTTGATGAAGGAAAAGTCTGAAGGAACGATCGTTATGGTAACGAAACTGTTTTTACTTGATATAACAGGTAAAAACACTTTTAACGACCATTTAATTACCTGTTGTACTGGTCATCTAAATAAAATCGTATCTAAAATTTTGGTTAGTAAGTTTTACATAAAAAATAGTAAGTTAACTCAATAAATGAGTAACTTTTATGTCTCAAAAAGTAAATTTGAATAAATATGGAACTTACTTTTTTTTTTTGAAGTAAATTACTACTCTATATACGAAACTTACTTTTTGGAGAGTAAGTTTAGTTCAAGTAATAGTAAGTTTTTATAGATTAATAGTAAATATTGTTGATAGAATAGTAAATTTGGTTAATCATCAAAACTTACTAGTTTGTGGCATAAATTTACTATTTTACTTAAAGAAACTTATATGAAACAAGTATTAGGGAGTTTATTTGAAATAATGCTAAGATTTTTTTATTAATAATTGAAGCTTAGTATAGTTAGTAATTACTCGTAATGTAAATGTATGATACACAATTATACGTATCATTTATAAATGTTATATGTTTTAAGCATTTTAAATATACTATGAATTTTATTTATTTATTTTTGCATATGGCCTTATAAAATATGTAAGAATAATTTGTCATATTATAAATTTTGAATTATTTTTGAATTTGTGAAAGGTTAGAAAGTTTGGATGATAGTAACAACAAATCTTTCGAGTAATATATAGAATTGCACTTATCTATACATCACAATTTTCATATATTGACACCTATGAATATAATAAAATGGTACACAATTTGCATATATTAATGCCTATGAATTTAATAAAATGGAAAATCTTAATAAATTTATTTTCTGGGTCACAAGTATAAAAATTAAAGTTGTATTAACATAGCATAATCTTTGAAAATTATAGTAAAATTACCCATATGTTAGGTTATGTGACTTTCAAACATACTTTGTATCATTTATATTATGGATTTGTATCCATATGTTTTCTATCAAACTATTTTTTTATTGGCAAATGGTATGTAAATTATTATAAAATGTCATTTTATAATCATCATAATTTTTTATAGATGAATTTTATGTAAACTGTTAAAATTATGAATTCACAAATGACTAAATCTGACTACTTTATGGCATATATTAGTCTAAATAACTAAAAAATTACTGTAATCATGTGCACGTTGAGTGTTGAATTGAAATTTCTTTTATTACTAGTACAAGTTCTTCTAATCGAAGCAAAATAAAATAAAATATCTTTTCCTTTTGTATGCAGTAGTTATGCTTAATAGAAAATTATTAACCCATTTTTACAATACATAATTTCTCCTAAAATTAGTAACATTTTCCATGACCTCTAACCTTGTCAATAATACTAACCACCGACATGTAGATAATCTTAAAAGCAAAAGCCATCAATATGACAAAAAAAAATGTTTTCATGCTGAACGAAAAAAATTGCAATTCTATATAGAATCGAAAAAATTCATCATGAATGAGAATGAATTGCAAAGTCATCACATTTCTAATTTCATATGCATCCAGAATTTCACGCAGCATTAGTTTAGAAGAACTTTCCTTTTTCACACTAAGGAACCAATCCTAGTCTCTACGTCTCTTTTATTTTTTCTTTAACCATTAAATGGGGTCAAAGTTGTTAGCGGTAAAATACTAAATAAATTTAATTCCATTTCAAACTCTAGTTAATTGTATACTAATATTTTACACCACAATCAATTGAGCACCAATTTCCTTTTTTTAAGTAGCTATTATTTATTTTATTACTTATATTAACTATTTACATATAAAATAATAGCAATAAAATGCCAATCCTCAGATCAATGGAACTTCAATTATTGTTAATAAAACTAATTTTGCATTGATAAAAATTAGTCTACAGAATCAAAAGTCAATGGCAACAATTGCTAAAATAGAGCAATTTTTAATTATGGGAAAATAAACAACTAAGTTCCCAAAATATTTCACTTTTATGTTTAAAAAATCTCAACTTGTTGATTAAATTCAAAATAATTCTATTGTCAAAAATATTTTTTCTCAAATTAACTTTCATGATTAGATGTGAGATACAAATATGGTAAAGTATCCCTCATACGTATGTCATGGATA